TGGGCACATGCACCCCATCACACTCTGAAACTTACCCCAGGGGAAGAAGGATAGGATATTGGTTAAAATTGGCAGAAGGGGCATGGACTGGGACAGGGGGACTGAAATAGACCAGACCTGTTTAGTCATCCTGAGTTCATCATTGACCTGGGTATCAATTCTGGAGCACCATTCATTAGCTGCATGACCTTCAACGAGGTGTTACCCTTTCTGAGCCTCTGACTCCTTCATCTGTAAAACAGGGGTAGCAATCCTTACTTGTTGGCTATACAAGGCTTTAAAGCTTACCTCACTGTGCCCAGCCCGTACAAGCATGCCATTCGTTCAGTAAGCAAAATTGTTGAGGTCCTACTATGTATGTGCAGTTGCTGAAAAGTCCATCAGTGAACAGAATAGAGAGATATCCTTGCCTTCAAGGAGCTTACCCCGAATGGGAGGAAATGGACATGTCTGAAACAAACCAGTAGCACATGGTGAAAATAGAGAAATGTAAAGCAAGAGGAGCGGGAAGGACACTGGAAGGGACATGGCCGTTCTCCTCTCTCAAGAGGCATCCTCTTCTTTGGGGCTTTTCTCCTGTGTAGCCACATGTTTCTCCCCCAGCTCCAATCCTCTCCACTAATTGTGCCCAGTTGTACTGAGGACTGGTAGAGGTGTAGGTCATGGTGTTTGGTCTTGACCACCCACCATGGCTTGGGCCTGGTTGGCTCTGGGCAGGCCAGCTGCCAACCACACACCTGACTGGCACTCTTTATTGCTTCTTTGGGGTTCTTCTTTTCAAGATCCTTCCCCTAAATGGACTTTAAAATATCAAAATGTTTCTTTTAATCCAGCCTAACTAAAGGTGTGAATCTGAAGTTTTATTGGTCAAAGAGCCACTCAGTCATTATTCCTAAAAGTGAATAAATGCATTCCTTCTCCTTAACTAGATTTAAAATCTTAGAAGGCCAGGGCCCACATCATTGAAACCTTCCCACAGTGCATGATTTGCATGTAAGTAGCAGGTCCATAGCCCTCAGGGTAGAAAGAGCTCAGGTTTTGGAGTGAAATAGATCAGGTTTTGAATCCTGCCTGAACAAGTGCCTTAGCCCCTCTGTGCCTCAGTTTCCTCATCAGTAAAATGGGAATAAATCTCCAACTTGTGGGTGGTTGTGAGGATGGGAGAGAATTCATCAGAAGTGTTAAGCAGAGGCAGCCACAGAAACAGTGATATACGAGGTGAATTTTGCCCAGTCTCTTCTTCCTTTTTCCCCAGCAATCACTGAGGAAACACAAAACAAGGAATTCTTAATAATAGAGCTCAAGTAATACAGCTCACCTCTCTCTTTTCCCCCAAACTTCAACAGAAGAAAATCTCCAACTCTGTGGGAAATTTTTCCAGAAATACATGAAAATACACTCAGTCTTATATTCAAAACATGAAACTGAAGTTAAGGTATACAGTTGACCCTTGAACAATGCAGGGTTTAGGGATGCCAACAGCCCCCACACTCCTCAGAGAGCTGAAAATACATATATAACTTTTGACTCCTTTAAAACATAACTACTTAATAACCTGCTATTGAGTGGAAGCCTTACCAACAACTTACACAGCCGATTAACACATATTTTGTATGTTATATGCATTATATACTGTATTCTTACAATAAAGTAAGCTACAGAAAAGAAAATGTTATTAAAAGCGTAAGAAAGAAAAAATACCTTTACAATACTAGACTGTATTTATCAAAAAAAATCTGCATGAAAGTGGACTCTCAAAGTTCAAAGTCTTGTTGTTTAAGCATCAACTGTGGTTGTTTTCTCTATTAGACTGATAATAACATCCTATTGATGAGAGTATGGAAAAAGGTAATTCATGTACCTTTCTGGTAACAATAAAATTAAAACAGGCTGTTTTAGAGGTCAGTTTGGCAGTGGGTTAAAATGTTGGTATTTCTTAGACCAAGAAATTCTACTTCAGGAATTCGCTTTACAAAAATAGCAACACTGATGTTCACTGAAGCACTTTTTGTAATAGCCAGACACTGGAAACGATTCTAATGTCCATCGGTTGGTGGTTGATTAAATCCATGTGGTCCATCTGGACCATGGGATGCTAACTCTGCACCCATTAAAAAGAGTGATTTTGGAATGATGGAAATGTTTTGGAACTACCTGCAGGTGGTGTTTGCACAACATTGTGAATGTACTAAAGGCCACTGAATTGTTCACAAAAATGGTTAATTTGTGTTATGTGAATTTCACCCTCATAAATTATTTTTTTAGAATAATAAGTCTTATTATATACTAACATGGAAGAGACATATTATTGAGTAAAAAGAGAAAACATTCTGTTTTTTGTGCTTGTTGGCAAATACATTTAAGAGGTTTGGAAAGATCTAGAACGAACTTAATAGCAGTTACTTCTGGAAAGTAGATGAGAAAATGAGGGGATTTGTACTTAATTTATATACGTCTGTAATGTATGAAAATTTAAAGTTAGAAGTTACTTGCAAACTGGCAGTGGGGAGGGGAATTTGAAGTTGGGTCAGGGGTTGAAACTGTTACAAGGTGGGTGGTTGATTCAAGTGAAAGTGGAAAATGTCTTTCATTTTGAATCTTATTTTTGTGTTTTCCTCTCTTTCTGCTCTTTAATTCCCACCCCAGCTATAATCAGAACCGAAAACTGAGATCAGTGAGTAACCTGATGACTCACTTTGCTTGTTTTGACCTTTCCCTGCCTGTGGCTAATTGATTCTGAGTGGCGAGGATCTGTACGCATTAGTTTGGTCACTGTTTATAAGGGCCTGTTTTCAAGAGATCACAAGGATTTGCAAGATATCTTTAGTGAACTGCATATTTGGTGCAAGTCCCTTCTTGACCAGCGTGGGGCTGGTCCAGTGATCATGAGCTCACTAATGAGCCAAGGGGCTCGTGCCAGCCTGAGGAACTCGTTCTGCTACTTGCAAACAGCTAGCTTCCTGCTTCTAAAAGGTTGTGATAATACCTTGAAGCCCCTTGGAAGTTTATTTTTACATTTTTCATTTATTCATTTTTTCTTGAATTATAAAAAATTTATAAACTAGAATAAAAATCACCTCTAATGTCATCAGGCCAAAAAAAAATAAAAAAGGATTTTGTGGTGTTCCTTTTATATCTTGGCTCATGTGCTTTTTTTCATAATTATAAACAGTATTCATATACAGATTTTAGTTCTGATTTTAACGTATGTAGAAGAATTTTTAGCTGTTAAAATTATCTCAGAATGGTCTAATTGGCTCGATAATGTACTCTCAGACAGATGAATTATAACTTATTTAACAATACCTTTATGTTGAATAGCTCTCTTAAAATTTGCTTTCTTAAATTTTGTTATCGAATCTCAAAATATTTGGAAGCTAGAATATGTTAGTGATGACAGCTTATATGCCACCATCAAAATCATTTCTTGCCCTCAGGAAGTTTATAGGCAGGTGTCTGCTCTGTCACCTGTCAGAGCAGGTGACAAGTAAGTATAATAAAATGTGATCATTGCTATAGCACCGATATGCCCAGATTGCCCTGGGAAAGAGTGGGACAACATTGGTGAGGCTTCTTAGAGGAGGAGTTTGAATTATATCCTGAGGACACGTAGGAGTTAGCCAGCTAGTAAATGAAAGAAAAACATCCCTGGAAGAGAAGACTATTTGAAGGATGCACAGAGAGACGGCAGAGCATGATACATCTAAGAAATGGCAGATTGCCCGGTGGGGCTGGAGAATAGAGGACTCACGGGTGAGTGGCAAGAGGTGAATCTAGATCTATAGACTGTGGTTAGAGTTCAAGAGGCTTTCTGTGCCAAACTGAGGAGTTCGAACTTCTCACTGAAGACCATAGATATGTGGCCACAGCAATGTCTTGCTAATTAAGAATGTGGTTTTGAGCACAGCAACACCTCATTGCTTTGGCAAAGTTCCCAATAAGTGTGTTGAAATCTTCTAGGATGAAGGCTGAAAATAATGCACTTAGCTTTCTTCTTAATCATTTGTATTTGTCATGAGAAGGCACTCTGATAGCATGTTTCAGCCCCAAGGGTGAACTTTGGGTAGTTAGACCACCCTGAAGTCTACCAGAACCTCTTTGGAAAATAAAGTATGTCAGGGCAGGCATCATTTGCTGCCAAGGTGGTATTTAGTAGGTATATTTGTTGGTACTTTTCAAGTTGACAGAATCCCAAATGAGATTAATGTAAACAGAAGGGGGAATGTATTAGCTCCTTAATTTGAAAGTGACTCTTCCTGGCTTCATGCACAGTGGGATCCAGAGGTTTATACTGTGTGGTTAAAGCTTGCACCCTCCCTCCATCATTCTCTTTCTCTGTCCTTCATTCTGTGTGTCCCATTATTGTCTGCAATAGCAAACAGATAGACTTAACTGTATGAAAAGAGGGAGCTGCTGCAAGAAACTCCTGCTTATGTTATCTCTTAAGTTCACAATACCAAAGGAATAAAGACCTTTCCAGTCTTTCTCCCAAGTACCACTTAGCATGTCTCAGGGAATCAAGCGTCACTCCCTGAACCAGGGTGGAGGAGTACTCTGCCTGCTCAGGTCTACCCTAACTGCGCACCAGACCCGATACCCAAGGATAGCAGGCTTCCGTTCCTAGATGGAGGAGGAGAACAAGAGTACTGGCCAGATGTAAAGGACATCCACTACTGTTAACCCTCATTCTTCTGAAGAGGGGGCTGTCTCCTGGAAAAAAGAGGAGCCTGTGGCTTCCCTGAGAGCTGCCTTTGTGCATGTTTCTCTGCTGTGTCCAGGTCTCACAGAAGGTCTCACACGTGTGAAGGCAGCCCCTTTGCCCAATTTCCCTTAGCACATAGGCTCATGAAAATACCCCACTTGCCAAAAGGCCTTGTGGCATTGTCCTTTCTTTCTTGCAAATATCTGATCTATGTTCTGTCAGTGACAGGAAGCTGCTCAAACGATCCACCCAAGTCATGCCACTGCCCCCATGACGGTTTGTTTTTCTCATTGTTTAGCGTTCCATTAGCTTCCGCAGCGAGAGCCGTCCTGACATCCTCACTCCCCGACCCTGGTCCAGAAATGCCGCCCCCTCAAGCACAAAGCGGAGAGACAGCAAGCTGTGGAGTGAGACCTTCGATGTGTGCGTCAATCAGATGCTTCCGTCCAAGGAAATCAAACGTCAGGAGGTAGGCTTGGGACCCAGGAGTGTCTGGAACAAAGTGCATTCTAGGCGAGAGCCAAACTAGGTCTGTCTATACCACAGGCTCCAAATCAATTCTTCCTTGCATTTGTAGAAGGAGGGCAAACGGGGGTGTCAAACCTTGTAAGAAACTGAGAAACCAGCATCCAGTTGGGTGGATGATTCCTGCTTTAAAAGAAACTGATGTGAAAATCTAAATTTACAAAGAAAATGAGTCAGGAAGTGTCTCTTTAGGATCCTGGAGCTCATAAAGTTAATCACTTTAGGTATATTTTGATAGCAACTTCTAGAGTATTTTAAGATATTCGATTTATGAAACTTTGATTCTGTTTTGTGGAAAACTTTCTGTGGAATGCAGTTAATTTCATTACCTGTGAATTTTTGGTATCAATGGCCCTAAATAACTGTGGTAATATTACCCTTTCTAGAAAGCTTGCCATGTGTCAGATGGCACCAAAGCAGTTTAATGCACATCATCTAGTGAAACCCTTGGAACATCTATTTCTGTGGAAAACCTGACATTGGCAAAAGCAATAGTTGAAAACTTTCTAGGTTTTAGACTCAGCCTTTCTTTTCTAGGAATCTATCTGCCAGACATGCTTATACACAGATGAAAAGATATATATGTAAGGGTATTCATCACAGTAGTGGTTATAATAGTGCTAGAAAGAGCCTGAGCATCTATTGCCAGGGACTGGCTAAATAACGAGTCTCCATACATGGAATACTACACAGTTGCAGGAACACAGGAAGTGCTGGTGTGTGTGTATGGATGGCTAAGTGGATAAGGCAAGGCACAAAGTAGGATGTGTTTTGTTCTTTTACCATTTATGGAAAAGAAAGGAAAAGTCAACATATGTGTGTACATGCATGTATTTGCTTATAGAATCATAAAGTATTTCTGGAAGGACACACAAGGGACTGGTAACATTGTTGCCTCCTGTGAAGGACCTGGGTGGCTGGAGGGAGGTTAGAAGGAAAGTTTTCACCATGTACTCATTTGTGCACTATAAATTTGAAGTATGTTAATGTATTATCTAGTCAAAAGAAATAATAAAGCATTTAGGGGCGCCCGAGTGGCTCAGTCGATTAATTGTCTGACCTCGGCTCAAGTCACAATCTCTTAGTTTGTGGGTTTGATACCACGTTGGGCTGTGTGCTGACAGCTCAGAGTCTGGAGCCTGCTTTGGATTCTGTGTCTCCCTTTCTCTCTTCCTCTCCCCTGCTCATGCTCTGTCTCTCTCTCAAAAAACAAATAAATATTTAAAAAACATTAAAATAAATAAAGTGTGATGCTAGGTGAAAGCACACTAAAAAAGACATTTAAAAATAATACATGAACTAAAAAAAAATCTGTGAAGAAACATGGCAAAATCTTAATGATGGTTAAAGATGCTATTATGGGTACATTAAAATTTCCCCCTTTTGTGTTTTGTAACACAAAAGTTTTGTAACGTTTTTGTGTTTGCCCAAGTGTCAGTAGTATATATATGTAATTTGTACAATCTAATAGTGGGAAGGAAGGAAGGAAAGAAGGAAGGAAGGGTTGATTCTGCAGATTAGAAGATTATCAAGGCACAGTAAATACAAATTCACCCGTCTGGAGAGTTAAAGAGCTAAGATTTGAACCCAGGTCCCGTCCTACTCCAAAGCCCATGGTCTTCATGCTGACAGCGTGACATCTGACTGTGGCGTTTCTCAGTATGGGGTTCTGGGGTTTTCCTCTCCTTGAGGCCACATTTGGCGGTCAGACAGTCAGGCCTATGGAAGTGAGCTCTAGTAAAACAGATGTACAAGGAAATCTGAGGAAGGTCCAGGTGAAGTCTAGTTAACTGTGTTGTGCCAAACCATTTCCTGGTCTTGATAATGCTCTGTAGTTACGGAAGATGCCGCTACTGGGGGAAGCTGAGTAATAGGTGCTCAGGACCTCTCTGCACTATTTTTACAACTTCTCCTGGGAGCCTATAATTATTTCAAAATAAAAAGTTAACAAAATAGAGTCCCAGAAGGCCATGATGTGGAGGTTTTACTGGGCCTCAGGAGGGGTCACCATGCACTGGCCTCCAGTACAGTATTCTGTCTTCACTTGCTTTACCTGAGAACAAACTCATTGTCTTCTAGTCCACCAACCCCAGAGATGGAGGGCACTCTCCAAGCCTGCTCACTTCTTCCCTTTAGTCTGAAAGAAATGTAGGAGTCCCCAAACCATCACTCCTATTAAAGAACTAAACGTATCGTCCTTCAACTGTTAATGTTTGCCAACAGTTTAGACTCCCAGATGAGTAAAGAGTATTCTGTGCATTGTAGTTCTTAAATTATGATGGCTTAGCAGAGCCAAATTAGAAATGGTCCATTTACACACTCTTATACACAGCTGGCTCCTAAAATTTTATTTATTGTACTGTGTAGGGATGAGAAGTACTTTAGAATGAATTAACTTCACCAGACATTTAGAGTGATAAAATATTGGAGTCTTCCTACAATTCCAGCCTGAAGACAAATGGCTGATAAGAATAAAGCTTTCTCTAAGATTCACCTTCTGTTGAGTAGAACAAAGACAAATTGTGATGGTCTAGTTCATAATACTGCCATGTCCATCATTGAGAACAGACCCTGAAATCATTTATGATGGTTGCTACACACACAAGAGATGCAGAATTCAACTGTGATTATTTTACCTAAAATAGTTCCCTCTTGCTCCACTGCACCCAAGTTCTGTAATGTGAAAGATGACTTCCTGAGTTAGAAACATATGTGGAACCTCTTTTTCCCACAAACAGGTAAGCATGTTATGCATAAGTTTTGCAAATTTTTCCTTTATAGCTTTTAGCCACTAGATGTGTTTGTTACAGGTTAATTTAACTTTTTAAAGAATCCTTTAAAAATACTTAAGAAGTTGACAGATTTGAGGCTTTGAGCAACAGAATCACCACAGTTTGAATTTGGTCTCATAAGTGAGGTGTTGAGTGAATGTGTTTTTTGTCTTTGCTTACAGGCAATCTTTGAGCTTTCCCAAGGAGAAGAAGACTTGATAGAGGACTTGAAATTGGCAAAAAAGGTAAATTTGAATCCAGTGGTCGTTTGGGCCATTTCCCTTTTTTTCTAGGTAATTTCACAATTCTAAGATTGTGCCATATGAGCACTCTTTTATGACTAAAACAGTCCATCAACAGTTGAGAAGAAACTGCACAAACCAAGTAGGCAGGAAATTGCTCAAAACAAGATGGTGCTCTAGACCTGGTATCTGTCAGGGTTCTCCCATGCGTGTCTCTAAGGCACCTGAAGTAATACCTGAGTTTAATCAGGAAGTGTTCCCAGAGGCCTGGCTCTATGTGTATTTCATTGTCTCTCATGCGGGGCCTCCTTAGTCAGGGGAGAGAGTGTGTGGACATCTGACACTGAAACTGTTCTGGAAATAAAGTCGTTTGAATCTTGAGTAGAGAAAGTGGTAAAGTGAGGCAATTGCATACTATCATGTAAGTTAGGGTCTTTTATATAGAAACGTGTGTTTTAATTACATTGTGTGCCAGAAGGGAGAAGGAATCTGTACCTTGTAACCTGTATAGTCTTGACAACAAAGCTTTCTCAAAACCTTTCCATTTCAGTGACTCCCATGGAGGCTGAAATCCAGATTCTTTCATCTAATATTCCCAGACTCTTTAAAGAATTAAGGGTTGGAAAGATGCCTCCCTTCTTTTAAGTGTCCTTAGTCCAGATTCCTGCTGATAGAAAGTGTCATTTGTAGCATTCTCGGGAGATGACCACCCAGGCGTTGCTTGGACACAGCCAAGAAACTGAGTTTTAGGTGGGGCTGGAGGAGGAGAAAGACAGAGATGACAGAGAAGGTGTTTAACTCTGAGAGACACCTCACTGGTCATCTGTTCAGCTCCCCCTTCCTGTGTCAAGACCAAGGCTAAGCACCGTAAGGGTGTTTCACTGCTTTTCTTTTGCTTATGGTGGTTCTACCTTCCTGGAAAGCCTTCTTCTCCTTTCAACCACCCACATCCAGCCTTCTTCCAGGAACCAGCTCAGATCTCAATTCATTCTTCACCAGTATTTACTGCTTCCATCTCCATGCCAGGCAGTTCATCTTAAATCTCCTTCAATTACTCCAGCTTTAATTCTCTCACTCTCAAAACAGTTATGATTTGATTGATTTTTTGCTACTACGTGACATCTCTTGTTTTTAATCTTGAGTTATTTTTTAAACATATCTAATTATCCACATGTTTTTCTTATCTCCCAATTAGCTTTATAAATATCCTTGGAGGCAGGGACCATGCCATCTGAGTCTCTGTGCTCTATTACAATGGCCTGTAACTGTGTGTTCTTGTTTAATTATCATTAATAAGAGGTGATAGGATTAACAGAGATTTTGCTCTCTTGGCTTCATATCAGTCATAAAGGATGCCACCACTTTTTCTTTTCTTCCTTTACTTGGTTTATATATGAACTAATTGAAAAAGAACCTGCTAGTAACTAATTTTGTATAAAGGGTTTTTTTAAGCTGCAGGATCGTCAATAAAGTTAATTTTTAAAACATCATACAAATCAAATCTGCTCTATACTTAGGATTTGTGCCCTTGCCTAGCTGTAGGATATACTAGAATAAAAAAGCTTTTTAAAAATCTGCTTTGGTTTATCAACAACCACAAAAGGCTCAAGGCAATACTAGATTCTTATCTGTTCCAGCTATACCCATCTGCTGTCTCTGCAGCATTATGGGGGAAGTTGTTTGGGGAGAGCCAAATATTTTGTTATGATGTGAGGCCTCACAGACACAGATGCCATTTACATTAACCACTTGCTTCCTCTGATTTAAAAAAATGTTTTTAATGTTTATTTTTGAGAGAGAGAGAGGGCGCACACGCGCACGCACAGTGGGGGAGGGGCAGAGAGAGAGGTAGAGAGAGATTCCCAAGCAGGCTCTGCACTGTCAGCATAAAGCCTGATGTGGATCTCAAACCCACCAATAGGGAGATCATGACCTGAGCCAAAATCAAGAGTCTGATGCTTAATCAACTGAGCCTCCCAGGTGCCCTGCTTCCTCTGATTTTAAATGTTTGCTTCCATCTCTTACCCTTCTTATGCAGGCCTATCACGACCCCATGCTGAAACTCTCCATAATGACAGAGCAAGAGTTGAATCAAATTTTTGGAACACTGGACTCTCTCATTCCTCTACATGAAGGTATAATTTTGTTCACACAATGAGTCATGACTTGTAGCCTTAATTGAGTCATCTTACAATAAGTCATGATTATGTAATAACTTGATTAACCCAAAATCTACTTTCAGTCCTGTTCGTGTTTGAATGTCTAACAAAATAAGCATTCTGTTTGTTGTTTTTTTGTTTTGTTTTGTTTACCAGAACTCCTCAGTCAGCTTCGAGACGCTCGGAAGCCTGATGGCTCCACTGAACATGTGGGCCCCATCCTCGTGGGCTGGGTAAGAAAAATTCTCTGGTCTTGATAAAAAATAAATCTCATAATGTAGATGGAGATTCATTTAACTAGACCTTTTGTTTTAGTTTAGTTTTGAAAGAGAGAGAGAGAGAACAAGCAGGGGAGGAGCAGAGAGAGGGAGACAGAGGATCCCGAGCCGAATCCAGGCTCTGAGCTGTCAGCACAGAGCCCAATGCAGGGCTCAAACTCAGGAAGCATGAGAGCATGACCTTAGCTGAAATCAGCAGTACGGACTGAGCCACCCAGGTGCACCTTAGCTAGACTTTTTTTTTTTTTTTTTGGCAAACCTTGGCAATCAAGAAATTTAAATGGCAAATTCTTGGCAAAATTTGTCATTCTATTTAGGCTTTATCTCCTCAAAGTATGGAAACAATTTTTTTCTTGTTACGAATTCATGGCATTGAAAGATAACATGACCTTTGGCAATAAAATAAAGGCACACGTCAAACGGTTACTAGTGTCATATCAAATAAAGTAAAACTAGTTAATATTCAATTTAGGCCAATTACTAATAATATCATTGTTACCATTTCTATTCCAGTAAATATTCAGAGACATATTCTTATGACCACCAAAAAAAGGTGCTTTATTCAAGCTACAAAAACAGCTCTCAAGATAAAATGTAATTTCATAAGCAAGGTAATACTGAACATTGTTAATGTTTAGCACGTATCTGATCATAAGTAACTTCGTAGGAAGTCTTGGTATTATGCTCACCTTCATCCCAAACAACCCATTCTCTTTCCTAATTAAACAAAGAAGTCAACTGTGACCTTTGATTAGGGGTTCTAAATTTCTGGTCTTGGGGCTGCATCTGTGTTTTGTTGGCTACATAATGCAGCTGTTCATTCGCTTAATGTGCTTTAGGCCAGGCACACACTCTTGATTTTGCCAGTCCCCACCACCCCCTTTTACTACCTTTCTGTTTCCTTGGAGTCCTTGTGTGCACCACCCCCACTCCAGGTGGTTTTCACTGGTTATGAAGTAGGTAATAAAAGCAGATTACTTCGATGACTTCTTCCAGGCAGGATTAGATCTCTCATCTCTCTGATCCACACATTGTTGCAGAAAAATAGGCAGGAAGTGCCACAGCAGCAAGCATTAAGTCATTTCGCTGTTTGGGGAATGTTGTAAAGGTTAAAAATCCTACCATCGTGTGAGTTCTCTTTATCTAGTTACATTTGTATTTATATTTTAACCTTCCTGTGCCTTCCAGTTCCTACATTTTGATGTAGGATGTTGATGTCGATCTCTTATCCTAACTTCTGCTTTTTTTTAAGTTTTTTATTTATTTTGAGAGCGTCAGGGGAGGGGCAGAGAGGGAGAGAGAAATCCCAAGCAGGCTCTGCACAGTCATCGAAGAGCCCAGAATGGGGCTCAAACCCATGAATCATGAGATCATGACCTGAGCCAAGATCAAGAGTCAGATGCTCAACCTACTGAGCCATCCAGGTGCCTCTAACTTATGCTTCTCAATTATTGCCTTGATCAAGAAACTTTGAGGGTTTCATGACTGAGATAGCTTTAGTTCACAAGTCAATTTTAGCACTGAAGCCAAAATATCCCAAGGGCACCTGAAAGGCAAGCAATGTTCTAAGATGAATAATTTAGAAAATGTGCCTTAATACTTCAGGAGAAGCATTTATCTTATATTTTTGACTCTCATTTCATTATAAGCTGTGGTAGATGTTTTAACTTCTTTGGCCTTCAAAGAAATTTCTCTAAAGAGAGCCAGCCAGCTGGAGACAGAGAAGGTGTCATGAGAAGAGACATTCTGCCTCAATATTTCTTAAACTTCCTGAGTCTGTGGGCTGCTTTGATGGGACTTGGGAGGGGAGTGGGGAGGCAGTGAGACTACACTCCAGAATTAGCAGGATGCCTGCTCTGTGTTTGACGAGCTGGCAATATAGGATGACGTGGTTTCCTTAGGCATCATATGCAAATTGTCAGTTCACCCCAGAAGCAAAAGTGTCAGTGTTTGCCTTGTTATTAATTTTTTCTAAAATAAATGTCTGCTACTCTTATTAGGAAATTGGTTTGATCTGGGGGCAGCTTTGGCAGCCCTTTTCTGTACATACTTGGAGGAAATGTGACTACCGCCATTGCTATCTGAACCCTTCAGACATCACATGAGGACTTGCAGCTTAAAGAGCAGCCCAAGATTAAACAACCGGCCCATTGTGACCAAGCCTCATGAGAACGGCCCTTATTGATCAGGCCCCACAAACTGTTAAATGTTTTCCCTCTTTAAACTGCAGATGTGTGTATGCGAGTGGGAACTGTAAACCAAGCGGTACATCTGTTTGAGTTCTGGTCTTTTTAACAGAACAAAATAAACATCTGAGTGGACTTTGAATGAGAAAAAGTCAGAGCCCATTTGACCCATGAAAAATTGATTTATTTGCCCCCCCTCCAACTCCCTCAAGGAAAAAAAGGTGGAAAAAGAAACCCATTTAAACAAGTGAGCCTTCCAAGTGGGACAGGCCTGGCCAGTCCTTTTGACCTTAGAATGAATCAATTACTTGTACTTTGAAGACCTGAAACAGAGTGGTGGTTTTCTCAGGGAGCCGCCGTGGTCACTGAGGATCGTTCTCGGGGGGGGGGGGGGGGGGGGGGGGGAGCCTGGTCTCATCCACCTCCCCGCCCTCTGTTGTATAGAAACAGCCTTCCAAGTGACTTGCCTTCATGCTAAAGTTTTTTCAGTCATAAAATAATTGATAAGTTCTCATGTTAATTTGGTTCTAATTCCATTTTAATTGTATAGAGAGAGGCAGAGTACATGGAAGCAAAAAATAGATTTGTTCTGTCACTTTTCACAATGTTAGGGAGATAGAATTTCTAAAAGTGAAAGAATTTCCCTTATGAATTCTTGATAGTCTATTTAAAGAGATGTTGCATACTTCAGAGCTTCAGGGGGGAAGGTGGGGGAAGAACACACTTCAGACTGGTTTTGTCTCTAGCTGAGCAAGTGGTTTTGCTTCTCTAAACCACAATTTCTTCAGTAAAAATATCCTGGGGGCAAATAATAATAGCTAGTACTTACTGATTCTGGGGTTTTTTTAATTTTTATTTATTTTTGAGAAAGACAGAGACAGAATGTGAGCCAGGGAGGGACAGAGAGGAAGGGAGACACAGAATCTGAGGCAGGCTCCAGGCTCTGGGCTGTCAGCAGAGAGCCCAGTGCAGGGTTCAAACTCACGAACCATGAAATAATGATCAGAGCTGAAGTTAGATGCTTCACCAAGTGAGGTACCCTGAGTACTTAATGAGTCTTAACCAGAAGCCAAGCTCACATACTTTTTATCTGCCTTATTTCATTAAGAAATAGGAGGACATTAGTATATGCCTTTTGTAAGTAGGGCAGCTGAGGCTCAGAAGGGTCACCTGATACTGTCCAAGTTAGGCTTTTTTTCTTTTTAACTTTTATTTATTTTTGAGAGGCAGAGAGAGATAGGGCATGAATGGGGGAGGAGCAGAGAGAGAGGGAGACACAGAATCTAAAGCAGGCTCCAGGTTCTGAGCAAGCTGTCAGCACAGAGCCTGACACGGGGCTTGAACTCACAGACCGTGAGATCATGACCTGAGCTGAAGTCGGATGCTTAACCGACTGAGCCACCCAGGTGCCCCTGTCCAAGTTAGGCTTTGAAACACAATTATCTCTGGTTGCAGTCCCTACCCTCTTAACCACTGTGTTATCACCTCTCGTGTTTGATATTTATATAAGTGAATGTGGATGTATTTGGGAAGCAAAATGTGTACATTCTTCATTCTCTAACAAGTTATAGATCACTTGTGGCCTTTTCTAGCCAGTGAGCTGAACCAGATAGCCTTTCAGGTCATGCCCAGGAAATAAGCACCCTGTCAGGTGTGAACACAGGACCCAAGCTGGATTGGGTTGCCATGGCAGCAGGGGCGGCAGGATCAGAGAGGAATGGCCCACTGGACGGTGAGCAGCAGTGTGGAGCTCCTCACTCGTTTACATCCGACAGTTACTGCTGATTTGTTTCTCTGTAATGAAAACATGCAGCATTTCCAGGTCTTTTTAAAAGACAAGGGAATGGAAATGAAATTAAGAGAGCCTGAAGCTCTTTTTAATTAACTCTGAAAATCTAAATTACAAGCCACAATACCACATCTGGGGGGGGGGGCGGTGTATGTGTGTGTGTAAGTAGCAATTATCATTTACTTTCAAATATAAGGTTGAGGAAAGGATTTCTTCAGCTCTTTGTTAACACAAATAAAGGTTTGTGTGTTTTTGTTTTTTGTTTTTATGACGCGTAAGGAAAGTAGACCTTGCCAAAGAATGTTAAACTCAACGGTGGACTTAAACATTACTTCCTTGGTATCTTTGTGTGGTTTTAGTTGCTGAGAAAATAATTTCAATAAGAGGTATAAAAAAAGCAACAGAATATTTATACTTTGACCCATTGTTCAGATACTGTCACAATTTATTTTTAAGCCATGTTCCTAGACCATCAAATATTACCTAATCTAGTAACCATTAAGCATTCATTTATTTGTTCATTCAGAATATAAACTTTGAATGTCTGCTGGATGGTAGGTCCAATGCAAAATATTGAGGATGCAGATATTAAAGCCCCTCTTGCCACTGTCTTGCACTGAATCCCTCCATAGGGCAGGTGTCGTGGTAAATGTGGCTTCTTAGTCCAAGGGAGAGAAGCAAACACAGTGGGACCGTTAGCTGTATTTTATTGCCTCTGGTACCTTTCTGGGAGCTGACAGCCCGTGCATTGGGATGGTGAGTCTTGGGTGCCACTAACAGGGAGGAGTGGAAAAGGGAGATGAACAGCCCTTTCACTGGGTCTCTGACTCTGTGTTTGCACAATGTGAGTGATGGGACATGTCAGGGAAATTCGTATTTTGCTGGAAGGAAGATAGAAGAGTTGAAGTGTTCCGAAGGCTTTAAGCTTAAATTGTTCTTTGCATGGTATTGTGATGTTAACCATTAGGCATAGCCAAGAATCTAATTTAAAAGATTTTTCTAACTGCTTCTTGCATTTAATTTTTTTACTAATTATACTTTGGCTTTATCTTCCTGGAGTTCTTCATAATTAGTCCGCCTTGGAATCAGGTAACCTTAAACTAATATAGAGATGCTTGCACCAAGCCATGCAAAGGGCTGGTCTGTGGAGTCTGACACTTTGCTTTCTTTTTATACCACTAGGTCTTCTAGATGAATTTCTTATGAATAATTTTAAAAGAAATCGTGTTTTATTTTGTTTTTTAAAGATAGGAGGCTTTCCCCTCACCAGACACTTTTGGAAGTTCAGGAAAATTTTGAGCTGTGTGTGTATACAGTTATTCTGGTTCTTTTGTTTCTAGCTTAGATTGGCAGAAATGCAAACAAATTATGATGAGGTCTTCACAATCAATAAAGTAAACATGCAGCTAAGGAAATAATGTCCCTCAAGTAAGCCAAAGCCTAGAAACTGTTCATTCCCTGCTATTTTAAAAGTTCTATTAGGGACAGCTGAGTAACTCAGTCAGTTAAGAGTCCAACCCTTGGTTTCAGCTCAGGTCATAATCTCATGGTTCATGAGTTTGAGCCCCAAGTCAGTTCTGTGCTGACAGCGCAAAGCCAGTTTAGGATTCTCTCTCTCCCTCTCTTCTCATGCACGCCCTGTCTCTCTCAAAATAAATAAACTTTTAACAAAATTCTTGATTGAAAATTCCACTGGTCTGTCTCTTCCAGCCATGCAGATAACGGAATGTTGGCCAGGCCTGGAGACCAGTTTTGTTCAGTCCCCACATGTAATACTAGCCCGTAGCTTCAGAGCACAATTAGTTCCACACTCTAACCTTCTGTTGACATTCCTTTCTTAGCTGCCTTGTCTCAGCTCCTATGACAGCTACTGCAGCAATCAAGTAGCTGCCAAGGCTCTGCTGGATCACAAAAAACAAGATCACCGAGTCCAGGATTTCCTACAGCGATGTTTAGAATCTCCCTTTAGCCGCAAGCTGGATCTCTGGAATTTTCTCGATATTCCAAGAAGCCGTCTAGTGAAATACCCACTGCTTCTTCGAGAAATCTTGAGGCACACACCAAATGATAATCCAGATCAGCAGCACCTGGAAGAGGCTGTAAGTTCCTCTGTTTCTTTCTCTCTTTCCCTATTGTTTTCTCCCATAGTGTCTAAGAGATTGGGTGAGTGTGTGAATGAAGGGTCTCTGGGGACATGGGACCCAGCAGTCTTGGCTTCCAGGCGAGGCGCTGCCATCAGCTATGTTTTTATTTTGCAAGTCACTTCTCTCTCTGCTTCAGTCTCCTAACCTATAAAATGCAATGTTTACATGAAATACCCTGTAAGGTCCCTTTGATTTCTAAAAGTTCTCGTTTCTATATAGGTGCCTCTCTAATCTATAATTACAATTAATAATAAACTGTAATGTTTGTTCCAATGGTTGTGAGGGTTAACATCTCTGGAGATTTAAAAAAAATTTTTTAATGTTTTTATTTATTTCTGAGAGATAGAGAGAGGCAGCGTGAGCAAGGGAGGGTAAGAGAGAGAGGGAGATACAAGATCTGAAGCAGGCTCCAGGCTCTGAGCTGGCTGTCAGCACAGAGCCTGATGAAGGGCTCGAACCCATAAACTGTGAGATCATGACCTAAGCCGAAGTCGGCCGCTCAACTAACTGAGCCACCCAGGTGCCCCTGGAGATTTTAAATTGAATGTCTTTGTATAGTGAGCAAATGGGGGTTGCCTCTTCCCTTAGCCCCTGAGCCTGTTTGTAAAGTCGACATCTATTTCAGATCCAGCTCTCCTCAGCCTCTGATTGCAGTGAGGGACCTAGTCCACCCTCCTGCTCACCAGCAAATGTTCATTAAATATGAGGAGAGATAGATTCTTCCTTAGTAGCAAGAGAAGACTAGGAAAAAGTGGGTCCATATCATGAGAATACTGTAAACGGTGAGTGTTCTGTCCGGAGAGCTTGGGTCTGATTGGGGTGCTCAGTGGGACAGGGCAGAGGCAACCGCAGGCCAGGGGGAGCCAGGGCCTTAGCAAAGATCTGGAGAAATGACCGAACAGGTAATGTCTGAGGAATACTATGGGTCACTGGGCCCAGAGAAGAGGATACTCTGAGGAAGCAGCAGGAGAGAAGGCTGAGGATGGGGGTTCAGATCTTATCATGAGGATTTCAAATAGAATTTGAAATCCTTTCTTGTGATTTGTCTTTTTCTTTTTTTTTTCATTTTTTAAAGTGTTTATTTATTTTTGAGAGAGAGAGACAGAACATGAGTGGGGAAGGGACAGAGAGAGAGGGAGACACAGAATCAGAAGCAGGCTCCAGGCTCTGAGCCGTCATCGCAGAGCCCAAGGCGGGGCTCCAACTGAGGAACTGGGAGATCATGGCCTGAGCTGAAGTTGGACACTTAACCGACTGAGCCACCCAGGCACCTCTCTTTTGTTTTCTAAGTAGCTAGGATTCCAGGTTCACATTCCAGCTGTATCACTGACCAGCTGTGGAAATGTAAATGCGTTAGTCTCGTCTGCAGGATGGGGGACAGAGGAGGAAGGGACTAGGGGCAGGTAGTTGAGAGGATGCTGCAGAGATCCAGGCATGCAGTCATGGAAACATGCTCTGGGAGGAGCCATGGGGATGGAGCCCTAGAGACCAGATCAAAGGGCTCATTCCCTGACTGAATATGGAACAGAAAGAGAATATGCATAGATGACTTGAAAATCAAAATCCGTGAAACCTGCTGAACAAACTGCCTATCTCCTCCCAGAGAGGGGTTTAGTAAGTAGTAGTCACAGTAATAATAATAATTAGAGCAATACCCGCTGACTTTTCTTGAATATCTAGTATATCAGCTTTATATAATCACTTTGTAGGTTATGTATCTCATTTAATCCTTATGATAACCTATAAGATAGCTATCCCTGTTAGGACCATATTCCAGATGAGGCTTGGAGGGCTTAACTAACTGCCTAGAGCCAGAGCCAGCAAGTGATGAGGTTTGTGTCTGAAATCTGCTGGTGTGGAATGCAAATCCTGTGTCTCTTCCACTTCTTTATGATCCTACACCACAGAGCTGAAAGCCTGGATGCTTCATTGAGTCTCCCCTGCCTGTAGAATTGTAGAAAGCTATCTGGGGCCACCAGGCTTTGTGGAGAGGCCTCACCAGTGCCAAGCTGGGCCAGGTGCCTCCTTGTAGGAATAGTGAAGACTCTCTTGACTGACGGCAGACACACACAGACCAGGTCCCCAGTCCAGCATAGATGGGGGACATAGGCGCTGGGCATGAAGCCCATGTCAGTTCATCATGTCTGTTTTTATTACTGGGAAGAGTACAGTAGCATTACCTCCTCTCCATATTTCATCCCAGCAAGTGTGTGGTCTGCAGGAATGAAAACAACATGGAGCTCGAGCTAGTTTAAATAATTACTCTTTTGAAACACGTGAACTTGCTCTGAGCTTTACTCTTAAGATTTCTTCTTTTTAATATGCAGCATGAAAGAATAATGCTGTTTTTGAGATCACCCAAGTGAGCTAAAGTTTAGGTTTAAAAACAGATTAGAATATGATTGTTTGCAATATGAAAGGATGAACCAGTTTCCCTAGTGCAAAAAAAAAAAAAAATGATGTCATTTTTAAAAGTTGAATCTACACCTAGTTAGTTACTAAGGCAGATTTGTGTGTGAGGCATGGAATACCTGCATTTCAAAATATCTGCAAAGCAAGTCTTCTTAATGCCCATTTACACAATGGAAGCACAGCAGCGTTTTGTTTTGTTTTCTTGTCTTTTCAAATTCCTCCGGGCATTACCCCAGATGAGCAGAAATATTTAGCCGTGTACTCTTGGGTACATTGTGAATGCTTGATTAACATAAAACCCATAGTACCAAGGTAGCTTGAATTACAGATTCCCTGAATACATTTTCCATCTCTGAAAAGGGAAAGATCAGAGAACTCTTAATACATTGCTTCTGCATCAAGTGTCCAGTCTCCTGATTAGGTCTAAAAAAAAGCCTTACTTTTACTGCAGTGCATAAACTACCGCATTTTTTTTTTTTTAATGTTTTACCCATTTCTAGTAGAGAGAGAGAGACAGCGTGAGCAGGGGAGGGTCAGCGAGAGAGGGAGTCACAGACTGAAACAGGCTCCAGGCTCCGAGCTGGCAGTCAGCACAGAGCCCGACGCGGGGCTCGAACCCACGAACCGCGAGATCATGACCCAAGCGAAAGTCGGACGCCCAACCGACTAAGCCACCCAGGCGCCCCTAAACTACCGCATTTTTATAAGAATTTCTTCATAGTGTTTTGGAGGGTTCATAAACGTTTTCCCCAAAAGAGAACATTTTTAAATAGAACTTCGGATATTCAGATATTCCAGAGGTCTGGTTGTTTAACATTTTAAATTCTGAGGATCATTTCAGCCAAACCCTGATCTGGCAGACCGTCTCTCCCTCTGCCTACCACTGTTCCCCAGCTCCTTTAAAAAAAAAAAAAAAAAAAATCACTGGAAGCAATGAGAACAGTCCTGCTGTTCCTGAGGTGCTGGCTGCTATTCCTGGTTCATGTCACAAGCCTATGAATAGATGATATTACTGCTCAAGGAACTAGACAGGGTTTTCAGCTTTCACTTTGAGCCTGACGATTACAGGCTGTGTGGATTTAACCCCTGTTCTGTCACCAGATACCTGTCATCATCTTGCTTTACCAGTCCTTTCCCTTCAGCCTGAACCCTGATGAGAGATGCAACAATAAATTTAACCTAAATGCAAAGCTACTGTGACTATTGGCAATGCAGTCTGCTTGCTATATTCAACTTTATTCCTTGCTGCAATTCTGCAAAATAAATTCCTCTCAAGAGCCAGTGCAAACATTAGATGTTTATGGTATACAGGTGGATATAAGTAAGAGACATTATTTTTAATAAATTAAAGCAGAACCAGAGGTGCTATTATAATGTCGACAAAGAACGTGGAATTAACAGTGATATATTCTATTGTTTTGTCTCTCTTTTTTCAAACACCAAAGAAGGACCTAGCATTTGACAGTAGTCATAGCTGCCCAGGAACCACTGCAGTGTTTGAGCTTATTAATGTTCATGTGATGTGCCAGCTGTTCAGTTTCTGAGTTAAATTAGGAAGTGAACGTGTATTTATGCCTATAGTACGTCATCTTTCTGGCTTCCTGGTTACTTGCAGGAAACTCAGAAAATTGACTGGAGACCCATTTAATTCCAGGTATACCTAGTAATAGTAAACTCTAAGAAGAGCCACAGCAATTAGTGCTACTGCTTTAAAAACAAGGGAAAAGTATGGATTCCACTACATATTAAAAATGTTGTAAAGTAAAAGATCAAGGTAGACCAGGTGCCTAGATGTCTCTGTTGGTTGAACCTCTGACCCTCTGTCTGAGCTCAGGTCTTGGTCTCGGGGTCATGAGTTCAGGCCCCTGTTGGGCTCCACATTGGGCTTCACACTGGGCATGATGCCTACTTAATAAGAAAAAAAGATTAAGGTAGACATAAAACAGTTTGTCAGATACCTCTCATGTATTTTTAAGCTTCTTGAGGGCAAGGACCCTGTCTCACTTCTTTGAATGCTGCCATCTAGTTCCGCACTGAACACACGCTCAACAAGCATTAACTGAATTTGAAGGAGGAGTCATAGCTTTAGTATGTGTTATGAAATTTCTTTTTTTTTTTTAATTTTTAAGTTTATTTATTTACTTAGAGAGGCAGAAAGAGAAAGAAAAAGCAGGGGAGGGGCAGAGAGAAAATCCCTAGCAGGTTCCATGCTGTCAATGAAGAGTCCAAAGCAGGGCTCAAACTCATGAACTGTTGAGATTATGATCTGAGCTGATATCCAGAATTGGACCCTTAACCAGCTGAGCCAGGCACCCCTGAAATTTCTTTTTTTGTTTGTTTTTGAAAGTAACAATAACCAGTCATATTTGAAAACCAAGAGGGGAGAAAAAAACAAACAAACAAAGTTTGTGGACCGAAGTGTTCTCTTTATTGTTTTATGTTAAAAAAAACTCAGATTAATTTCATAGGGTTTATATTTAATATCAGGTTGACTTTAAAGTCCAAAAGGTTATTTTATGATATAAAAACCCTGTGTTTTTTTAAAAATGATATGTAATTTTTTTTATTGTCAAAGTAGTATTACCACCAAACTTTGGGAAATAGAGGAAAAAATAAATGAGCTTTGAAACTCATAATAGCTAAGGAAGTATACAGATTATACATCTGTTCATAGGACAGACTTCAGCTCAGAGCTGTAAGATCTTCTGTCAAACTTGCATGGAAGTGCCAAAGTTATAACCGGGTAGAAGTTTTTATCCAGTTGGCTTTGGGCAGAAGGTATCATTTCATTAGCATGTGAAAAATAATCACTTAACACTTAGATTTTACTGCCAACTTAACACATTACAAGATGTGGTAAGTTCTCATGGAGTAAAGGCCTCTTTTAAAACCTTGCTTTTCAGAGAGTGGTTTGTTTTTCCATTAAGTAAGTAAATGTGACCAAGAAGAGTCCTTATTAACATTTTTCATCTGTTTTAAGTTCTTTCCCGTTAATACCACCGCGAGTCCTGGGCTGCAAGGGTGGTTCAGTATTCACAAATAAATCAGTGTGATATACCATATTAATAAAAAAGGATTCGAAACAGAGGATCATTTCAGTAGATGCGGAAAAAGCATTTGACAAAGTACATCATCCATTCATGATAAAAACCTTCAACAATGTAGGTTCAGAGGGAACATACCTCAAAACCATAAAGGCCATATATGAAACACCCACAACTAATATCATGCTCCATGGGGAAAAACAGAACTTTGCCTCTATGGTCAAGATCAAGACAGGAATGTCCACTCTCACAATTGTTATTTAACATAGTCCTAGAAGTCTTAGCCACAGCAGTCAGACAACAAAAAGAAAGAAAAGGCATCTGGGGCGCCAGAGTGGCTCAGTTGGCTAAGCCTCTGATTTCAGCTCAGGTCACGATCTCACAGTTCGTGGGTTCAAGCCCTATATGGGGCTCTGTGCTGACAGCTCAGATCCTGGAGCCTGCTTCCAATTCTGTGTCTCCCTCACTGCCCCTCCCAACTCGTGCTCTGTATTTCTGACCCTCAAAAGTAAATAAACATTTAAAAAAAAATTTTTTTTAAGAAAAGGCATCCAAGTCTGCAAGGAAGAAGAAAAACTTTCACTATTAAAGATGACTTGATACTCTATACAGAATATTCAAGACTCCACCAAAACACTGCTGGAACTGCTAAACAAATTCACTAAAGTCACAGGATACAAAATCAACATACAAAAATTGGTTGCATTTCTACAAACCAGTAATGAAACAGCAGAAAGAGAAATTAAGGAATCAACCCCATTTATAATTGCACCAAAAATAATAAGATACCTAGGAATAAACCTAACCAAAGAGATGAAAGACCTCTATTCTTTTTTTTTTTTAAGCTTTACTGTCATTTTGTTTTTTTTTTTTTATTTCTAGGAGAGAGAGAGCGTGAGCAGGGGAGGGTCAGAGAGAGAGGGAGACACAGACTCTGAAATAGGCTCCAGGCTCTGAGCTGGCAGTCAGCACAGAGCCCGACGCGGGGCTCGAACCCACGAACCGCGAGATCATGACCTAAGCGAAAGTCGGACGCTTAACCGACTAAGCCACCCAGGCACCCCGAAAGACCTCTATTCTGAAAACTACAAGACACTGATGAAAGAAATTGAGGATGACACAAAGAAATGGAAGACATTCCATGCTCATGGATTGAAAACACAAATATTGTTAAAATATCTATGTTACCCAAAACAGTCTGTACATTTAATGCAGTCCTTATCAAAATACCACCAGCATTTTTCACAAAGCTAGAACAAACAATCCTAAAATTTGTTTGAAACAATAAAAGATCCCAAATAGCCAAAGCAATCTTGACAAAGAAAAGCACAGCTGGAGGCATCAGAATTCCAGACTTCAAGTTTATATCACAAAGCTATAGTGATTAAAGCAGTATCGTACTGGCATAAAAGTAGGCATATAGATCAGTGGAACAGAATGAAAACCCAGAAATAACCCACAACTATTTGGTGATCTAACCTCCATCAAAACAGGAAAGAATATCTTATGGGAAAAAGACAGTCTGTTCAACACATGGTATTCAGAAAACTGGACAGCAACATGCAAAAGAATGAAACTGGACCCTTTCTTACACCATACACAAAAAACCCTCAAAGCGGATTAAGGACCTACGTGTGAGACCTGAAATCATGAAAATCCTAGAGGAGAACACAGACAGTAACCTCTTTGATATAGGCTGTAGCAACTTCTTTCTACATATGTCTCCTGAGGCGAGGGAAACAAAAGCAAAAATAAATATTGGGACTTCATCAAAATAAAAAGCTTCTGTACAGAGAAAGAAATAATCAACAAAACTAAAAGCAACCTACGGAATGGGAGAAGATATTTGCAAATGACATATATGATAAAGGGTTAGTATCTAAAATATATAAAGAACTTATAAAACTCAAGACCCAAAAGATGAATAATACAATTAAAAATGGGCAGAAAATAATAATAGACATTTTTCCATATGGCCAACAGGCATAAGAAAATATGCTCAACATCACTGATCACCAGAGAAATACAAATCAAAACTACAATAAGATATCACCTCACACCTCTCAGAATGGCTAAAATCAGCAACACAAGAAACAACAGGTGTTGGTGAGGGTGTGGAGAAAGAGGAACCCTCTTGTGCTGTTGGTGGAAATGCAAATTGCTGCCTCCACTCTGGAAAACAGTATGGAGCCTCCTCAAAAAGTTAAAATCAGAACTACCCTACAATCCAGCAATTGCATTACTAGGTATTTACCCAAAGAATGCAAAATGCAAATTCAGAGGGATCCATACACCCCAGTGTTTACAGTAAGCTGCATTATCTATAATAGACACGATATGGAAACAGTGCAAGTGTCCACCAACTGATGAATGGATACAGAAGATGTATACATATACATACACACAATATATTATTACTCAGCCACAAAAAAAGAATGAACTCTTGCCATTTACAATGACATGGATGGAGCTAGAGAGTATAATGCTAAACGAAATAAGTCTGAGAAAGACAAACACCATGTGATTTCCTCATATGTGGAATCTAAGAAACCAAACAAACTAGCAAAGGGGAGAGAGAGGGAGAGACAGACGGACAGACAAAGAAACCGACTCTTAACTATAGAAAACAAACTAATGGTTACCAGAAGGGAGGTGAGTGGGGGTAGGTTGAATAGGTGATGGGGATTAAGGAAGACACTTGTGATGAGCACCAGGTCTGTATGCAAGTGTTGAATAACACTACATTGTACACTTGAACCTAATATTACACTGTATCTTATCTAATTGGAATTTAAATGAAAACTAAAAAATAGTGGTCTTTTCACTATTAGAGGACAGAGGACCCTGCTGAAGAAGTCATCATGTTCTCTTTGGTTGGTGTCATTGAGTTTTTACTCAACTAACTTCTTATTCCTTTTGTTTTTAGCATTTTCTAACTTTTAGACATATTATTCATGTGATAGAACAACACATCAGAATAAAGGCCCACTGTGTGTATATGAGTGCTGTACTCTTGTTGTTTCATTCTCTATTAACAACAGTGTATCCACCATTGCTCTGAAAACCCTCTGCCCCTAACTTATTCACATGTGCTTTAGGCATGGGTGTGAGTGTAAATATAGAGACAAACGGTTCCCATCATGATGTGTTTTCTTTCCATTTCTAGTTCTCTGTCCTTTATAAATCATTTGTGCTTATCACTAAAAAGATATCCAAACCATTTCTTCACATCCAATTTGCAAATACTGTTTGTAGGTTAGATTGAGTACCTGTGGAGAGACCTTGAAACTGGGTTCAAATCCCCAAAGATGATCCCTTCTTGGGACTACTACATTCTGCTTTGTTTTCTCTCCTTGGCTGAAGGTTTTAGATGCCTATGTTTTCAACATTGTAAGCATGGTTTAAGAAATGTGCAACATAGAGCTCAGTAGTTATGAGTCCTGCACATTGAAAACTGTACCTTATATCTCTTCCTCTCAGATAAAAGTATGTATCAATACCAATTTAATAAACAAATATCTGTATCTGTATACAAATATATACGTATGAATAAGTATATCTATGTGTACGTGTATAGATGGTAGACACAATATATTAAAAGCATTTATTTATTTTTGCCTTTTCCCAAAACAGCAAGTTAGATAACAGAATCTCAGAATTAGATGCAAGTCTATCTTGGTGACCTTCTAGTCTAAGCCCCTGGGACTTGCTGATGTGGATGGTTTGCTTACTTCCCCCATACTTTCGTCTTTGTTTCCATAGATAAACATCATTCAGGGAATCGTGGCAGAAATCAACACCAAGACTGGGGAATCTGAGTGCCGCTATTATAAAGAACGGCTTCTTTACTTGGAAGAAGGCCAGAAAGACTCTCTAATCGACAGCTCAAGAGTGCTGTGTTGTCATGGAGAACTGAAAAACAACCGAGGCGTGGTGAGTGGCTCCTCTTCTTCAGTGGTCTCTTCCTGGGTGTCCAGGGGGAAAGGCCATTTGATACCAAGCCTCCTGTTACTGCACCTTGACCATCAAGCATCTTCAGACAAAAATTGATTTCCAGTGTCTTTTATATCACAGGATCCCATATATATATATATAATTATATACCTTGTATATATGTATTTCTGTATTGTGCATATAATTTATAAATAATATGGATTGGATGTTTCTAACTTACTATATATTTATATGTATTACACAAGGTATATATTATATATATGTTTTAAATTTCACAGCTTAGTACATATTCAGGAAGAATTGGAAACCAACATAGGGTTGCCAACTTTGTATTTTGTTTGATCATGACCTTCAATAATAAATGCAGAACAGCTAACATGTCCTCCCACTTTGATGTAAGAAAATAGGCTGTTAAAAGTATATGATCTCAGAAAAACAGCTCTTAAATTAAAACTCTTAGTTTTATGAGAAATTCTTTGCTTTTTTTTTTTTTTTGGATAGGTCCCCATCCACAGACTGCCATTTTAAGACCAGTTTTTCTTTTTTTAAAACAATAACCTGGGGTACCTAGGTGGCTCATTTGATTAAGTGTTCGACTTCGGCTCAGGTAATGATCCCACAGTTTGTGGGTTTGAGCCCCGCGTCGGGCTCTGTGCTCACTGCCAGCTCAGAGCTTGGAGCCTGTTTCAGATTCTGTATCTTCCTCTCTCTCTGACCCTCCCCTGCTCACGCTGTCTCTCTCTCTCTCTCTTTCTCTCTCTCTCTCTCAGAAATAAATTAAAAACATTATTAAAGAAAAAAATAAATAAAACAATAACCTACCCTGTATTGGCTATATCTAACTCTGCCCAATTTCCTGACTTTTATTCCTGAGTAGATATTGAAATTGTTCCTCCTCTCCTGTCATAGCAACTTGGACAGATCTCCCTGGAGCACTTACTACCGGGAGTTGTAATTATCCATCTGTCTGTTGGTAACTTCCATTATGCTATAATCTTTTAGGTTGGAGACTATGTCTTGTTAACCCCCAGCACCTATTATGGGGATTGGCACATACTAAGCACTCAGTAATATTAGGTGAATGAGTGAGTGAATGAATGAATGTGAATGTTTGCATAAAGAAAGAATGGATTTGAATTTTATGAGAGTTCAAAATTCATTTAACTCACCAGGCTACTTTTAGAAATAATGCTAGAATATTAGAAATAATATTAGAAATAATAGAAATTAATGCTATTATGTATATCATATATTATAATTTTTATGTATTATACATTAAAATGTATATATAATGTATAGATTTTATTATGTATAATATATATTTAAATTCAATGTTGGAAAAGTCATTGAGAAAGAGAATCTCCACTTTTATTGTATTTCATCTTCAGTATCTAGTCAACCCTTAGAATGGAAGCCAAAACTAGATTGAATAGTTCTTAATAAAGCTTTGATGATTCAAAGGACAACCTTTGACCTGGAATATGGAGTGGCATTTGTGAGCAGGCTCAAAAATGTTATTTGAAATCACTAAGTATATGTCAGAAGCACCCATTATCAGAGCTACTAGGGATCCAATCAGCTGATGGTGCAACAGAAGTAATGAGACAGGTCATAGGCCGCTGCTTGAAGAAGGGTTTCTGTTTGACTACAGACTTACTGATTGATAGAAAGCTACATTCCGCTTCTTGCTGATTTTCAGAAAGCATCAGTCGACTTCTAATGTCTGGTACTCTGGCTTCTTGAACATTCTTTGTCAGAAGCCCTGTGGGAAATAGTTGGGAAGATTTATCGTTTCTGAGATGAGGGCCTATTCTCTTTTTCTGTCCATCAGTCAAGGACTGAGACTCTCTCTGATTGGATGTGCTTAGGGCATTAAAAATGAACCCTAGTTCATATTTCAAGCAGTAGATTTTTTCCAAACAAAGATAGTAGTTGGGGTGGGAGGTTTGTTTTAGTTATTTTTTTCCCAACAGAATCATGGAAGTCATTCAGAACCAAGTTCTGTATCAAGAGAAAAGCTCTATTATTTGAGAGCTAAAAGGAGCTGAGACTATGAAGGGGAATTCTCAGCAAACACTCATAAATAAGGGATGTTTTTCAAAGATTTCCCAATGAGTTCAAATTGTCCACCTTGGCGAGAGGATTGATTGAAGTAGAAACATTATAAAAATCTCTGATCATGTTTACAGTGACCAACCCCTTCTCTGTCCATCCCGAAAAGAAAAATCTCAACGTTTTTACTACATTCCCCTCTCTAAAAAAAAAAAAAAAAAAAAAAAAGCCCTTAACTTGGTTTTTTTTTTTTTGCCTTACTCTATTTAAATGTACATTTGATCATTCTGATAAACAAAATTTCACTCCTCAATCTCCTCCCACCCAGTACAAAATTATCATTTGTATTACCAGCCAACATTTGGTTGAGCTTTAACTTCTACAGGGGTGTGTGTGTGTGTGTGTGTGTGTGTGAGAGAAAGAGAGAGAGAGAGAGAGAGAAGGCATGGAGGAGATCCACAAGTTTCTTTTCTCCTAAATGTAAAATTGCCTGATAATGCTGAATGTGCTTCCCTCCCCCAAATCAAGATGAATTTCCACCTGGTTTCACATTCCCACATATCTCCACTGGAAAACCAGAACCCAGCTACCAAAGTGGTAGATCTTTTCACTTCAATTCATCAGCATTTCCAAACTGTGAGATGAGCCTGGCACTTGGAAGGGAATAGAGCCAATTTGCCCCAGCTCCACCCAGCGAAACTGCTTTCATGATGTGGTTGGAGACAAGCCTTTATTTTTGAGATTTTCTTTATGCCCACAACACACACATCAGTCATCAGCCTTTAAAGCACAGCCTCTTCAGAGAACTGAGGTTCTGATGAACATAATCGAGAAGGACCAATGCTTTGATAATCTTTCTCTGCAGCTAGAGCGGCATGCTCCGATTCCCTCAGGATGGGCAGTGTTCTGAGTTGGAGTGCCTGGATGGAGCTGATAGTCAGCTGTGTGGTTCAAGGAACAAGTGTTTTTATGGGTTTGGGAAGCAAAAATTGATATTAGGCTTTGATATGCCAGCCGCATCCTTTATAGACTATTGTTCATTTTGATCTCTTAGGATTATGTTAGGTGCTACAAACTAAAGCTGGGATGGGGGTAGGGGTACTAACTTCTTTTTCCTTCATGGTCCCCTTTATTCTACTCCCCCTTCTCATTTTTTCTTACGGAAGCTGGAGGCTGTGTTTGTCTGCACAGGTTGTGGACTGCAATGTGATTATCCCTAGAGCCTGCAGCCGTGGTTACAGATGTCTGTAGGCAGAAGGACCTTCTCCATGGAGGCTCTAGGGAGGCCCTCCTCTATGAAAGGCACTAGATGCATCTAGAAATACCTCCAAGTTGCCCAACTTCTGTTCTGGAGGTAGATTTGAGCCTAAAAGTTTATAATACAATGTGAACCTGGTACCTGGGAACCTATTCTCCATGGAAAATCTTTCTGGACTGCCGCTTAGAGAAATCCTGTGGATCCTTTTCTTCCAGAAGCTGCATGTTTTCCTGTTCCAAGAAGTGCTTGTGATCACTCGAGCCGTAACGCACAATGAGCAGCTCTGCTACCAGTTGTACCGGCAGCCAATCCCTGTAAAAGACCTTCTACTGGAAGACCTGCAGGATGGAGAAGTGAGGCTGGGCGGCTCCCTGCGTGGCGCATTTAGCAACAATGAGAGAAGTACGGATGGCAGGCGGTTTTGATCTGTTGAATGGTTTTGGGTGCAGTGGTTCAGAGGGAGTGGATGCCTGGTAGAAAGAGGAGAGCCATCACCTTGGAGTCACCCTACATTCCAAGCTATCTCATCACTCACTGTGCAACCTTGTGCAACCTCTATGAGCCTCAGTTTCCCATCTGCAAAATGGGCATGTATGTGTGCCTACTTTATAAGGTTGTTGTAAGGATTAAGATCCTGCAAGTGAACCTGCCTGCACGTAGCAGGGGCCCGTTAAGTTCCCCTTCTCTGTCTCCTTCCATTGAATAAAAGCATGCTTAATACCAGAGAGCCCCTATGTAGATACCAGCTGCTTACTGCTGGCCCTTGTTGTTGAGCTAGAAAACTATCCCTAAAGAAGCTTAGGGATGGTCACTTGGTTGAGGATTCATATGTAATTATGTAACCATTTGCATATTGCAACTTCTCTAACTTGAGACTTAATAAAAAAGGAAATTAATCAAGAGAAGGTAAGATGGCAGTGTTTACTGAGTGTCTTATACATGTCGTTCAAGGTACTAGTAACACTGGTCACCTAAATAGTCAAACTCCTTGCCTCTGTGGAGCTTACATTTTAAGAGGAGATAAATGATGAATAAATATTCAGGTGCTCTTAAGAAAACTAAAACCCAGCATGGGACAAATAGGGATAACAGTTGCAGGTTTGCTTTAGAGGAAATGATCAGAGAAGTCTTCCTTGAGAAAGTGACATTTGAGCATCTTGGATTAACATTGGCATCATATTGTCAAAGTAATTAATAGGTACTGCCTCTTACCTACTCATCAGTCCATGCACCCTGGAGGTAGTGGTGATGGTCGTGGTGTAGTGGTAACTTGTATTTCTTGAATACTGACTATGTGCCAGGCATTGTATAAGCACTTATATGTATGATCACATTTAGACCTTATAATAACCTTATTAGGTAGGTTCTCTTTGTCTCTCCCATTTTACAAGTAAGGACACTGAGACATAGAGGAATTAAGGCGCTTGCCTAAGAGCAATGGGTGGAGCCTGAATTTATCTGAAGTCGTGGTTCCCAGTCTATTGGCTACAGGGATAGTACAAGAGGACTGAACACCCACGCTTCTATGAACCAAACATTTCACATGGCACACGGGGCCTGTTATGTTAAGCTAAATAAAATGTCTTCCATTGTGCACTACCATTTTTCAAATGCACTTAGCTCCTATGGAGGTAATTAAAATGTAATTTTATTTTAAAATGAAATCAAATTTATAATATTTCTGAGTCTTTACATATCTTCTCAATCATTTGGGTACTATATGTACATGTACTATCATGTGAAGGATTATGGGCATGTTTTGATTTTACAAAGAGCTTCTTAAACTTGAAAAGGCTCTAGCTTGGGGCAGTTGTTGAAATTCCAGATTACCAGGCTCACCTTAGACCTATTGAATCCGAATCTCTAAGGGCAGGGTCCAGGCATGTATGTTTTTAACAAACTTACAGAGGACTTTAACACACACCCAGGTTTAAGTTGATGTCTATTTGCTAGCCTCAAAGGCGACTGAAAGCTACACTGGTGTCAACTCCAGGTCAACTCCAGTTGATTGATGGTGGCTCCAGGGTACAGCTGAGCCATGTTCCAGACCAGTGGGACACAGTTTGTAATCAATTAATGACGACTGCCCTGGCTCAGGGGCTTAATGTCACTATATAGGTTATCTTTGCCCCGGGAACTGTCTGTCCATTGACCTTTCTTAACCATGTTTTTCATTCCTAGTTAAAAACTTCTTCAGAGTGAGTTTCAAAAACGGATCCCAAAGTCAGACCCACTCACTACAAGCCAACGACACCTTCAACAAGCAGCAGTGGCTCAACTGTATCCGTCAAGCCAAAGAAACAGTGCAGTGTGCTGCCGGGCAGGCTGGGGTGCTGGATTCCGAGGGACCGTTCCTAAATCCCACCACCGAGAGCAGAGAGCCACAAGGAGAAACAAAACTTGAGCAGATGGACCAATCAGACAGTGAGTCAGACTGTAGTATGGACACGAGTGAGGTCAGCCTTGACTGTGAGCGCATGGAACAGACAGACTCTTCTGGTGGGAACAGCAGGCACATTGAAAGCGACGTCTGACAGAAGCATGTGTACTTCCTGGAAGTAGACCTGTGTCTTACCTGTACAGTATTTGCATTCCATACATGGAACGGTTTGGAGAAGCACTTTTTAATATTTCTGTGACCGTGTTGACCCAGTCACTTGTATCTGTACCTTTGTCCTTAGTACTGTAACTGCCAATCTGTCTGTGTAAGCTGGGATCTGTGGCAACTGGTTCCCTGTATTGTATTTCACAAGTGTCTGGATGGACGGAGGGGTACTTGAACAAGTTACTTTCAATTGTCCTGCTGGATTTTAAAAACTAGAAAAGAATCTCTAAACTACTGTTTCATGTAGATTGCTTAAAAGAGTCTTCTCATGTTTCTATAATGCTTTTCTAGCTCTTTGACATGGTAGCTGAAGGCATGAATTATACAGGGCCTTGCAAACAGGGCATGAGGAAGTCACTTGTGTGTCGTGATGGTATTTGAAGGAAAATGGGAAAAGATCAATCCTTGCAGTGACTTGGTTCAATGTTATCCAACCAGAAAGCATGAAAACATCCCTGGGGATTCTGGACCCTTAATTTTGCAAAGCAAGAAGCACTGTGTTGACCTTGCAATGTCATCCAGTGCAGATTTGATGCAATAATCTATTAGGATGTGGAATGGTGTCTGACCTTAAAAGAACCAGCATAAAAGCAGCTGTCAGCTCTGAATCTTGAACTGAAATGCAGTTGCACTGGGGGGGGGGGGGGGGGGGGGGGTGTGGGATGGGGGGAGGGGGTCTCTCTGTCAAAGTTGCTGGCTTGCCGTAGAGAGCCACTTCTAGCCTAAAACACCAGAATAGAACTCAAGAGGTCTGGCAGGATAATAAGAAGGCCCGTCATCATTTTGTTTCATCTGCCAAGCCCTATTCATATTTTGGAGCATTGAGGAAGAGACTGCAGGAGAGGCCGTGCCTCTGTTCACAGAAACATGTGAGAAGAAGAATTTGGAAGAAGTGCTTCATCGTGACCTCTTATGGGGAAACATGAAAAGCAAGATCTGGTTCCCTTCTGGGAAAGGCCAGAGCCTTGGGTCTTCCTGCTCTGCTTTTGGGTCATCACTTTGCTACCTTGGCTCTGTTCTGTGATCAGAGTCATAATTACATTCTCCAAAGGCCAATTTTAATTAACTCTATGATTAATTAGGATCAATGAGCCAAACTAGTAACCTCTTTGTCCAGCCTTGGCTTACAGTGCAGGGTGGATTGCAGACCTTAAAAGAAGCTAACTGAATACACAGAAAAGCTCCCTGTGAGTGTAAATATTAAGGATGACCTGTGCAAAATTATTCCCACACCAGCACTAGTAGTAATGATTCTAAATTATTGCCAAAAAGTTTTTTTTAATCTTCTGTGTCTTTCAAGTTTACAGAAAGCAGTAAATGCTGTGTCATTTTATTATGTACATCTAATATGTGCATTCAGAGAAGCTGTGTGACAAGATGTATCATTATAAAAACAAGGTAATATTACTTATTTTTCAAAAACAAAAAAATATTGTGGTCAATTATACCCTGTAAAACAGATTTCTGTATTTATAGATTTTAAACATGGTGAATTTTTTTTCTATTACAAGTTTATTTAAAATGCTTTGTTTCTCAAATTGTTATTAACTTAGCAAGTGAATGAACTGCTGCAGGTAGAAGCAGACAGAAGCTGAGAACCTGTTGTTTGATGATGGGGGGGAAGAGTGAATCATTCTCTGCAGGAGCCTTCGGCCACAACTTTGGTCTTGGTCGGTGGGTTGAAGCAAGAGATCTGTTAAGTGCTGGCCTGTGGGAAGAAAGTGAATGTTTTGATGAAATGAATGTTTTTGTATAAAGGCCTTAAACTTTTCTGGAAGCATTTCAAATAAATTACATTAAAATGTCATTCTCTCAGTGTATGTAAGTGTCCTACAAATGTCAAATTTCAGCTATCTTCCTGGAAGGTTCTTTCTGAAATGTTTGCTTGTTTTGCCCAAATACAAACTTTAAAATGGGGTGCAGGATGAAATAAATGATCTGATTTGATCTATCAAAACTTTTGTAGAAGTGCTATTTCTAAGATCTATTTTTTTTTGAGCATTCTCTACTCATTCACTTATTCATTTATTCATACTTAACAACCGTATCTTCAATCTGTACTGCATGTAAAGTCAAGGGATAAGTTATAATTGTTACAGGAAAAAAAGTGTTCAGGGGCACCTGGGTGGCTCAGTCAGTTAAGCATCCAGCTCTTCATTTCAGCTCAGGTCATAATCTCAGGGTCCATGGGATGGAGCCCTGTGTTGGGCTCTGCGCCGAACATTCAGAGCCTGCTTGGGATTCGCTCTCTCCTTATCTCCCTGCCCCTCCCCACCTCCAAAATAAATAAATAGACTTTTTTTTTTTTTAATGTTGAAACTCATTGCTAGGATAGGTGACTGTTGAGAAACCTGAGGCCAAATAGCAAAAGGCAAATTCCACTTTGAAATTCTTGCTGGAAATTCAGGCCACTTTTTCTTTAATTAAAATGATTAGTTTTATTCCTACAAAAAGTGTCTTTAGATGAAAAGGCTAAACAGTTTCAAGCTATGGGTCACCAGTTCTCCGTAGTGAGGTGGCCCAGTGGAGCTGGTGCATAGTCTCATCTTTGTAACAGGCTCTCACAATTTTCTTTGACATATTGTTTATTTCTGAGAGAGAGAGAGAGAGAGACAGGCAGCGTGAGCAGGGGAGGGTCAGAGAGAGAGGGAGACACAGAATCTGAAACAGGCTCCAGGCTCTGAACTGTCAGCACAGAGCCCAACACAGGGCTCGAACCAATGAACCGTGAGATCATGACCTGAGCCGAAGTCAGACGCTCAACCGACTGAGCCATCCAGGTGCCCCTCTTTGACGTATTGTTAATTCCAAGATTAGTCAAGATATTCACATGAATGTAAGTCAAATTTTTTTCCCAAACAAAAACTCATTCCTCCTCATTCTTCTCATCTTTCTCCTTCCTTTTCATCCTCCTTGACCTTCTTCAGTGTCTCTTTGGGTATTCCCTCCACCTCTCACTCCCATGATTGTACTGACTTTGATATTGTAGGCTGGATCCCTAGTAGTGTATTAGAAAATGTACTGACATGTTGTGGGTTAGTACAAATGACAGGGAGACATCTTCGGTCTAGTCTCAAGATGTTATTTAACACATAACTAAATGTAATCCTTGCAGTTAAATGAAAAGTATAAGCAAAGAAGAATCAGAACCAGCAATTTTGTGCAAAATTAGAGTGTGGTTTCAGCTTCTGGGTTGTGGTCACCTCCATTAACTGCTTTCATTTCCATTCCTGGCACCATCTCTAGCAACTGGGAATGCAAAACTCTTCATTACAATGGTGTTGTTTTCACAGAGTCTCTGTGGGTACAGGAACTGCAAGCCACTGTCTTGGTGAACAAGCTGTTCGACTTTCCATTTACATTCTATGTCCACCTCTTACTAATTCTCCAAAAGCCTGAGGACTTTTGGGGAGATTTGATCACACAATTCCACTTGGGCCATTTCCCCCACCTGTCTCCCCTTGGCCTTGCAGAAACCCTCCCCCCACCCTTCTCACTGATGTAGTTGATTCATTTAACTCATACTATCCTGTTTATTGACAGAATGCTGGATTTATGGTATCAGAAGGGAATTTGAAGATGGTGAATCAAGCCCAAACCCACCAGAAGAAATCTGAAGATCACGAAGATTTAAAACCTTGCCCATAGGAACACATAATGAGAAAAGGTGACTATATTCCCGGCACCTACAGAGCCTTTATACAAACAAGCTGCAAAACAATCACTGTTCTTTGTATCACAGCTCCTTCCTCCAGGCTTGGTTGGCACATCAGTTGGCTATGTAGATCCACCCAGATAAGCAATTCTTTTCTTTTTTTTTTTTAATGTTGATTTATTTTTGTGAGACAGAGTTTGAGCTAGGGAGGAGCAGAGAGAGGGAGACACAGAATCCAAAGCAGGCTCCAGGCTCTAAGCTGTCAACACAGAGCCAGTCATGGGGCTCAACCCACAAACTGTGAGATCATGACCTGAGCTAAAATTGGACACTCGGTGCCATCCAGGTGCCCCAGACTAAGCACTTCTTCAACTGACCTGGACAGCATAGCAAGGAATTAGAAACTGTGCTCTATATCTGAGAGCTGATCATCTAGTTCAGGAAACTGCACATGTATTCTAAATAACTTGTCTATTTACACATATGTGTTCAACACACAAACACACCTAAGTAATAATGACCTGTGCTACTCATCTGTGAAAGGTTTGAAGAATAACACCCTGCAGGTATTATATTCAGTATACCTGTCTACATATCTGTGAACACTTTAAAAAGTGAGACAGTGAATGTGAAATCACTTTGAAAATTAGTAAGAGCTAATAGTTTTCATTGTTGTTATTTAATACTTTTAAATTTACACCTGGTGTTATGAAATTTCTCAAAAGTATGGTGTTGGCCTTTTTCCTTCATTGTACTGCATACTTCGAAGGGGGGTGAGTGGTCTTTTTAATCCAGGAAGTCTGGAGTATTTTTTTCTATTTTTTCTTTGGTATTTTCCTTCCCGCAATTATCTTTATTTTATTTTTTTCCACAATTATCTTTCAAGAACTCGAGAAAGAGAGATGTTGAACCTTGTGGATTTGGTCTCTACTCCTGATTGGTTTTCAATGTTCTTATCTCTTTATTCCTACTTTTTATTTTCTCATATTTTGTTCTGTATAAGGGAAATTTATTTACTTTTGTCCTCTAACCCTTCTATTAATTTGGGGAAAGGGCTAGCTATCACAGGTTATTTTTTTAAGATTTTGTTTTTAAGTAATCTCTATACCCAGCATAGAACTTGAACTTACAACCACAAGATTAAAGTCACACGCTCTACTGACTGAGCCAGCCTGGTGCCCCAATCACAGTTTTTATTGCTAATTTTCCCCCTTTTTTGTCATCATCCTTATTCTTAGACCATCTTGTTCTTGTTTAGTGAAGGCAATAACTATTGTAAACCCAGGGCATCATAGTTTGTTGAGTTTTTCATCTTCTTGCATTGTTTGTTCATCTGGAAATAATAATAGTAATATATGGGATTTGAGAGAGGAGTAAAGGAGCTAATATGTCCAAGAAGGTAATGCCAGATAAGTGCATTTACCTCTCCAGAGCCACTCTCTACCCTGATCCTTCTGTGCCTCTGAGATCTACACGTACTTCATCAATGGGCTCTCTTCCTTGTAGCTTATGGCCAAAGGGGAGTCCTTGCATGATATCAGGGAGGGAAGCAAGTGAGGTTGGAGTATTTCTGCCCCCAGCTCTCTCAAAGAATTGCTTTGGCCTGACTGCATCTCGTGACAGGAAGTCACAGCTCCTCTTAAGGAGTCCTCTCTGAGTTCCCGTAAGCCTGCCAGCCTACTGTCACTAGCCCTAGGAGACTGAATTATTCCTATGCCCTGCCCACAATTGCATAAAGTCCCTTTATGAAGTCCTCCTTGAATTAACCTGATTTGAATCCGCTGCTGAGCCTGCTAAGCCCCTGATGGATACTGGTGGCTGACATAATAAACATAATACTATATGTGCTGTCATCGTCATCATCACTGTTTTCTGCCATCTGCAGTGTATTTTCATATGTTATGGCTCAAGGATACAAAGATCTTGGGGACTCATCAAAGCTGGATTTTTTTGTTTCTGTTTCTTATTATTGTGATGGATTGTTTTATGAGAAGAAATGTGAAAATATCTTTCAAAGACAAAGGCAAAATAAACAAGGACTTTTTCAGGCATGCCACACCCCAAAGCCAAAGGAGTTCATAACCAGTAGACCTATGCTGCAATAAATGTTAAAGAACCTTGTTTCACGAGGAGAAAAATGATACCGGATGGAAGTAGGGATCCATGCAACAGAAAGAAAAGCATTGAAAAAGCAACTCTCTGGGAAAATAGGAAATCCTCTTCTTCTTGTTTAAATCTCCTTAAAGGAAATGAGTTCTAGCCATTCTGGAGTCACAAGGCTAGTTTTATCCTTTCACCTGAAACAACAACAACAACAACAAAAACAACACATATGAAACTGCAACTTTAAAGATGCTGAACATCAGACATTGAAGAACAATGGCCCTGAGAGAGGGAGAGCAAATGAGTGAGCCCTGCAACTGCTCCAGCTTATGGCCTTGAGAGGGTTTTCAGGCAGCAGTGCAGAGAGTGGAAACCCAGACTGAGTCCAGGGAACACACTGAGTGGAAGAGATGTAGCTAAGAATTCTGGGAGACCAAAGCAGCTACGCTATAGGAAAGAGAGCAATGCCTGGAGAGAGAACCCTGGTGGTCTGCAAGGGACCCACTCAGGTGCTCTGCTGAGCACTGATCAGTGCACACATGTGAAGAAACTACCCAAGGGTGGGGAAGCTATCCAAAAGGATTAGAAGGAACTCACACAGTGCTGGGAATAGTGCCTGTTCCCACAAACCACACCAGAAGAATAGAAGAATGTCATAATTGGGTAAAATACTTAGAAGGGCCTACTTTCAGTAGTGGGGAATAATTACCTCTACAGTAAATACCAGTCTGGTTTCCACCTAACATGTCTTAAAAGAAAAGCTAAAAAGGATCAAACCATTTCCAAGTAACTTAGCTGCATATCAGAACAAAACTCAATTATTTATAGGAATACAAAATTATCCAGCATCTAACAGGGTAAAATTCACAGTGTCTGACATCTAATCGAGGGCTACAAGGCATGCAGGAAAGTACAACCCATAGTGAAGAGGAAAAAACAAAAAGCAAAAACAAACAAAACAATTAAAACCAAGCCAGAACTGACAAGTTACAAGATGGCCTCGCTGCAATGTAGAGCTTGAATAGCAAATGCTGAAGGAGAAGCAGGTCTAGGAGAGAACAC